TAGTGAGGATGTTGCAGCCTGGCATTGCCGCAGGATTCTTTGGATGCTGCATGAAGCCTGGCTGAACTTACCCAGCGAAGCGAAATCCCACGAAGCTGACTACGCCAGAAATGGGAATTTCAGAAAAGGCAAGACCAACAGCACCCAAGCATCTGGCCTCTAAATTGCGTAGGATCGGAACCCACGAGAAGGTATCCCTTATACTCTACCCTCGCAGGCTAAGTATTTCAGGGCCTACCTCGGTGCGGACTGCCGTTTGCAGTGGTGCGTGCTGAGGAATCCATTCCGCAAAGACCCAGAGTACATCATGGAGCCCTATGGCTTCGATCTCCACGCCTGCTGGCTCAGATAGTAGTAGTAGTAGTAGTAGTAGTAGTAGTAGTAGTAGTAGTAGTAGTAGTAGTAGTAGTAGTAGTACATCATAATCGTACTATAGTAGTCGTACAAGCTTCCGCAACTGACTCCAAGGGAAGGTTGGAAGAAGCGGGGAGGTCGGGATCAATAGCTTTCGGCTGCAAGGGTGCGATGATCACATGTTGGGTCAGGCAGCTGCATGACCTAAATGTAGCGGTCATGAGGTCAAGAGCAAGCCTGATGAGCGTGCGCTGGCTTTGCGACATTTGGCTGCAATTGTTCGTGGATGCCGCGGGCACCAGAGTTCAGCTCAGGATTACTCAATAGGGATGTATCGATTGCCACTTCGGTGCGTACGACGGCGTGGTCATGACGAGGATGTTTCGGACTACTGCTTGTTTGATTTCCGTCTTCCTCTAGCATATAACCATACGTCCAAGACAGTAAACGTCCTCGGAGTTTCACAACCCTTCTTTGAGGATTGAAGCTACGTTACCTGCCGAGGGATCTTGCTGCCGGCTTTGGCGTTGGGAGTTTCAGGTATGGCTTGGCAGGGTTGAGGGATCCGGTCAGATACGTGCTTAGCCGTGCTTGTCGTGCTTATTGCGCTTCTCGGCTGTTCTTATTCTGGTTTTGGGTTTTCTTTAGGACAGTTCTAAGCACCCCGGCTAAACGAACTACTCTCCGGCCAGATGCAGGCGCATGAACGAGTCATATACTCAGAGCTTCAAGCAGGCTTCATTGCGGACACGCATTTTGTCCTGAACGTGACGAGCTCCCTCCTCTTGGGGATCAAGCCGATCGTTCGCACTCTGATGCCGCCCCAGGACAGGAGGGTATCAACATGCATCGGAAGCAGGTAGCCCCAAGCAACGCGTTGCTGGTTGGGAGCTGGTTTCCTTGTCCATCGGAAGTATCGCGAACCCAAACTCGACAATTTGCTTCGCAACGCTTGCCACCGGCTGTTCTCGTACATCTACTATCGAAGCCTGAATACGTGCCAAAATTATTCCATGGGGCTCCGTAGAATCATGGCAGAATATACCCCGAGCCCTATTCCAATTCAGCCTCCTATATATTCGTCTTGTACCTATTTAGGGTTACCATGCCTTGGGCAGGACGGAGCAGAGACGAGACTGGAAGATGCAGAAATGGCGAGACCAGGCAGGGCTACGATTGGCTTCGGGGTGAAGGGTAGGATGCAGGTTTGGGCTGTTGTAGGGGTCCTGTTGCTGCACGCCGGCCACAATAACAACGTGATGGGAATGACAACCGTAACGTGAATTCGCGCCAAAGTGGACAGAAATCCCTCGCAATCTGCTCCAGCCACCCTGACCCACTGAACTGTCATCCAAATTGGAGGAAAAGCTCGAAGGCTCAATTCACGTTTTCAAAAATGCTCCGAAGGCACGGCACCCTTGGCTCACCTGCTGCAGGGCCTTGGAGAGTTGCCGGGGGACCTACAGACCCTAAACCCTAACCCTAACCCCGGGTTTGGATCATGGGGTCGACGGAGCTACGCATGCTCTCGGGTTCAGATTTTGGGCTGAGCAGAGCTGGAATTAAGGAGGGCCGAAGGAACTCCAGCATTGTAGATGTTGCGATTTCACCCTTCGAGTTCTTGCTTTTTCGTTGCGAAGGAATCTCGACATGCATATGGTGTCGCATGTTCTGAGGAGGGAGGACTTGCTCGACCAGTTCAAGCTGATCTCCGAAGACAGAGCTGCTAAGCCGATCACAAGGGCTGTAAGAAGTGCTGTAGGGGCAGAAACAATGCTTACCAACATTTTTCTTATGCTTCTTAGGGTTCCTTACTATAGTTATACTCTAAAGGAGCCGAGTTATTCTTAGGCTTCTTAGGGTTCCTTACTATAGTTATACTATAAAGGAGCCCAGAGCCCTGTTTGTATCATGAGGGCCCCTGCAGTAGAGGCGCTTGCCAGTAATCGTCCGAGGGGAGCATTCAGGCCCAATATATAGCGGCCTAAAAAATTGCCAATACTATTATGGGAGTTCTTATTTATAACTATAGTATAATATACCCCAAAACCATAGTCTAATTATTCAGGCTCCTGTATTGCCAAGCCTGGTTCGCCTCGAAGCCAGGCTGTCCAGCGGAGCAAAAGTGTCTGCACCCCCTGCCAAGATACCCTAAGTCCCCCGCCATCGGTGATCGATGGGAGGATGCTTCGGCATAGAGTCGTGAACTAGGCGGGATTCTGAGTGGGAACGGGGACCATCTCCTTTTGGTAGAGTTTACTGCATTGGGCATTTGTGTTCCTAGCCCTTTCCCAGCAATCTTCAAACGTACCATGTCGAAATTGTCTCACACAGCCGACTCAAGAGCGTTTGCCTCGCCTGGATTGTCGAGCGTGAGCGCAGAAATCCCCCGCCCAAACAAACTCAAGCCTACAACCTTACAGTCGAAGAGATCATCAATCGAGGCTTCGGTGGGCATCAGCGTTCCAAGAGAAGAGGAAGTACCAAAGAGCCATCCGGCAAGGTTGAAGTTTGGGCCAGTTGCGGTGCAGCAACAAGGGTGGAGGAGATCGGATGTCGGTTTCGGGATGTAGGCCGAATAGAGGCCTGAAGTCCTCTGTAACACTGCGCTCCCTATTACGTACAGTTAGTTAAAGTAGACGATTTCCCCCGAGCCTTTCGCTGAGCGTTTAGGCCGCGGAACTACGAAGGGAGAGACCGGAACTAAGATTTGGGATATCCTATAAAAACCTCTTTAAAATGAAGCCCAATAAGGTCGGGATATCCCTAGACCCCCTTGGAATGAAGCCCAGTAATTTCGGGATATCCCTATAAAATGTTTAGAACTCTGCAGTTTGGAGGAGATCCTGATGTGGTGATGCTTTCGATCAGGGGCCCGCGGGCAAAATCCTCAAATCCTAGGGTTGAGGGCTGACGTGGAGAGTAAAGAAAAGTAGGCTTAAACCAAAACTCTAAACCCTTAACCCGCTGTTGATTGGGGTGTGGACATGCGCAGGCTTTGAGCTCAGAGTGATTGTGCTGCCAAGCCCGTTTTTGAAGTTAAGAGATGCATGAGGTGCAGGGTTGAGGCTTCCACACTGATCGCGGCGACAGCTGTTTTGGGCCTGCAAAATAGGCTGCCTTTTTGTTGAGCTGGGTACCCAGAGAGCCCGATACCCCTTGATTAGGGAATATAGCTTAAATCACAATATGAATCCCCTTATAGTTTAAGGAAAATTCCTTAACTCAGGGGTATTGGGCTCTCTGGGTAAGGCTTCCAGGGCCGGTCTGCACCTTGTAGAGGCCTTAATCATTGGAATAGGGTTTTGGTGTATATGTTATACTATGTTACGATAGTTATAGCAAGGAGCCCCCCAAGACCCTTTTTTAATTGTTAAGGCCCCTACATCAACATGAGAACATACCGCCTTGACCCGACAGCTAGTGCCAAAGGCACTGAACTGAGAACTTTAAGCCCGCAAGCCCGTAGCCCAAGATCTCATTCCCATCTCCAACCCTAGAAACCACCAGCAACCCGAACGTCCACACCGTGCTTCGAGGGGCCCTAAACTCTATAGAGTCTAAACGGGAGTTTCCGAAAATTAGGGGTACCTTTTCGGGGGTCCGTATAAATAAGGATCCTGCCATGAAGGGTACTATATTAGGGTCCCCTATTTTCGGAAACTCCCAAACCCTACAAGGGCTGTGAGGTGTAAGTCAGCGTTTTTTTCTGGCGTCGGCCGCACAGCCAGATGTAGCAGCGCAGGCAGTTTCGTCATGGAAGATATAAGGCATTTTGGGGTTCAGGGTTCTAACGTAGAAATCAAGGCTAATTTAGTAGCGCGTTTTACCTGCAAGCTCAATTAGAATTCCGATATACATTTCAGCTAGCTGTTTTATCGGGGACACCCCGCAATCCCCATGACCCGGCGCCCTTTTACAAGTAGCCTTGCCCCTTTAGTAGTACTCTTGGGTGGCATGCGTGATTGTAGTGTCTAAATCTGCAGGATCTCACTCGAGTTTAAAATACCATGAAGCACATGTTGAAATGAGAGTTTATCAACAAAGGCTTTCCTGAAGTTTTGAAAGACGATAGGTGGATTCTCGGGACGTTTTGAGGGATTTCATCGGGGTCTAATATAAAGCTTAGTTATACTCATCGGTATGCGATGTACTTCTAGCGGCCTTCTTTGGAGAACAGCTCTTCGCCCTTTATGAGGCTCTGAGTTTCAGCACGCACTCCTTGTTCAAGGTTTAAGCTTCGGGCTGCTTACGTTGGTCAACTTGAAGGATGTCCCAGGTCCGTTTGAACTTGAACCCCCACCCTTGAAGCCTATACGTATCCTGAACCCCAAACCTTAGAGACATAGACGCCGAAGCCCCGAATCCTGCATCCACAAACCACTTCACGGTTTAGGATTTAGCATTTGCTTGGTGCATTGCAGTCCCTGCTCAACAAAAAGGATCGAGAATGCCTTAATCCTAGACCTCGCAAGTATCCTGTATACTAACACTTATAAGCCCTAGCCCAACCCTCAACCCGTAGTCCCTCGAGCCGTTCTTGCGCAGCCCAAGTAGCACATGTGATTGTCGCAGTGGGGCACTGCAACCAAACTTTGCCGACAGCTTGCCTCAGTTTTGAGTTATAAACAGATAGAGTGGAAGGGATGATGCTTCGCTGTGCGATGAAATGCTTGGACTGTGACTGCAACGTCTCCGACATTGTGGATGTTCACGACGCCTTCGCTGAGGAAGTGATCGCCCCTGTCCCTGTCCAAGCGTGTGCCCGCCCAACACGCGACATGATGGCTCACACGATGGGACACGGCGCTGCTGCCTCTACGTGGCGACCCAAAAAACCGACTCCAAAAGCAACAGAACTACCCTGGCAACTTTCATCGCGGGAAGTCCGTGATACCGTGTTGTTGTCTGGGCGTTTCACCAAGGCGCGGCTCTTGTTTCAGCGCAGCACATTATCAGTACAAATATCACGGAGTACACATTTCCCAATTTGGCCATACTGGTCCTGTCAACTGGTCCTGCAACTTTTCAGATATTGCTAGGTTGCTTAGCATAAATAACCCCTGTGCGAGGCGGACAAAGTTGCCTACATGCGGGATGTTGAGAAAGAGCTCCAGAAATGCGGGATCAGAACCTTTATGGTGAAGGCAGGAGCAGGGCAAGATTTTGGAGTACTCACTGCGATGGGTCTGCACCGTGCGCGAGCCATGGTGGCATTCTGCACCTCAACGTATGGGGAAAGGACTCGGGTAGGATATGAAACCTATCAAGAGCTCAAGTATGTACATGAGAATGGAGAGGATGGGGCGAAGATTGCACTCCTTCCGATCAAGCTCGCCGAGGTGTACCCGCCTTGTCCCCCTGATGAAGTGGGCAGGAGTTTGTGCAGGTTGGCATTTTCCAGGAGCCTCGTGTATGTTGATGGACTTCTTGACGGAACATCGTACAAGCAAGCCGAGGACGTGGCCAAGCTCATTGTCGAAAGCCTCAGGCGCATGAACCTCCTTCATGAGGTTACAAAATAGTGTGGTTGGGGCCATGGCACTTTGCCACCCGCTAGCATTCGAGAAGAATCGTAGAATGTGTCGTGCGACATTTGCAGCAGCCCAGGAACTGGCCTGACAGGGTCGAGAGTCACAGCCCAAATCAAGGCCGCATCGTCACATGCCTGAAGCCAGGCCAGATTTTCCCTGATAGGAGCATGGCCCTGAGAATTTTTCGTAGGTGAACGACACCCCGGTGTGTGTCATCAGAGTTGCGGACAGAGTTAAGTGTGCTTATCAGGGGGGCAACGCCGGCAAAGCCGTGGTTTCCATTCCCTCGCTCTGCAGGCAACCTTTCATGTTCCATCCTAGATGTTGCAAGAAAAGACCTGTAGGCGCAGATTCCTAGTGCGAATCAGCCTCGCTTTGAGACACTCCCGTGTCAAGCGCGAGCAAACAGGACACAGGGGGCACTGCTGTAGCTTTGAAGGTCTGAGACTGGGCCCAGAGGACCCTCGACCCTAAACCCTGACGGACCCGACCTAGCAGGACGAATCATAGCCCCGTCCATAGATTTACCTTACAGTACCCTCTTACACTCTTACAAACCCAGACAACATCGCTGGCATACTGCCCTTATACTACCCGACCACACCATAGTGTCCTCCAAAGCCCATTGCGAGCACCGTTCCCTTTTAGTCACTAGAAATGATTACAGAATTATACTATACCCCAAAACCCTAACCCCACTCTGAAGTTAAAGCTCCTTATCAAAGCCACAGAGTTTGAAAAAACTGAGCTCCAAACCCACTGAGGTCTGGTCTCGGCTGAGCCAGACCCAGCTGGCGGTGGCCGTGGCTCGGGGAAAGGAGCTTCGGGTGTGTTAAAGCCCTGTTGGTTGGGGCTTGAAGTTTTATGAAGTTTTGAGATATGATTTGGATGCTGAGTGTATGGTTTGGAGCTTTAGACTTTTCGCGAGTGGAATTTCTGTGAGTTCAGGGCTCGAGGGTGTTGATTTTGCTTGGTACCACTGCCTTTTTAGGCCCTAAACCCTAAACCCTAAACCCTAACCGGGCCTGGGGCTCTCAGCTTCCGCGTCGCGGGGCTCGAGCTTTCGGTGCCGCTAGGTTCGCTGCCGTAGTCCAAACTTCACGCCCCACAATTCCAAGGGTAAAAGGAGGAGGGACCCTTAAAGGAGGGATCCCTAGGTATATACCCTTAAATAGTTATTATATACCCATTATATAGCCCATTACAGGGTAGGGGTCCCCATTAAGGGTCCCTCCTTTTCCCCCTTTGAAAATGCACCCCACAGGAAGCTGCAACATGAGGTTTTGAGCCCAATCTGGGAACACTGCTTGCAGTATGACCCAGCATGACTTTGAGAAGCGAACATGGTTTCGTGGCCTGCTCGCGCGCCCTTCACTTACCTTTGGTTAGTAGGGAATGGAGGAATGGGGTACAATTTGAACTGCTATTACTACCATTCTTCCATTCCCTACTAACCAAAGGTAGGCTTTCCGAAGGTGGTGGTGCCGTAAAGCCCGCTGCCCGCTGGGTCTTGCAGCTGGAGTTGCCCTCATCAGCCGCCGCTTTGCACGCACAATGCCTGTTCCAAGTTAAATTTGGGATGGTTTGGCGCGCCTTTCAAGAAGAGGTTACACGGAGCTTTTGGGGAAAACCCGCGCACACGGATATATATATATATATATATATATATATATACACACACACACATCATGCAAGCCATAGCTAGCAGACACAAAATTTGCATGTCGATCAGTTTAGTTTAACCAACGCGACGTGTCTCTCCGCTACCATTGCCTTGTCGCGTGTGGCACCTGGCTAAAGACACCTCGGTTTATCGTTCAAATATGTCTACGTCCACGCAGCGTCACTGTTGGGTTTTTGGGCCTGGGTTTTATGTGCAACAGTCGCAAGCATCGTTACCTAACTATACCTGACTGCCTAGACTGTTTGCATTCTCTCGGTCGTTCGCAGGCAAGACGCAACTATGCGATTAATACCTCGCCCATGGCCCACTGCGAAACGCTCTTACATAACAGCAGTCTTCAATTTGGGCTAGGGCCACGTGCTGGATAAACCACCGTAATCTGAAAGCCCGCGCTTGAAAAATCTTGAACATATCCCGCGCCAACCTGAAGCCCCCTGGAAGAAATAACGCTGACCTATAAAATCCCTATAGAACCAAGAAGGTTAACCTTTAGTTCCCCATGATACCCGACGAGTAGGAAGAAATAACACTGAAAGAATCCTTGCCCAGAACTTGGTTCGCCTCTCGGTTCCCCTCGGCTGGAAGGCCACCATGGCAGGGCTAGGGTTCAGGATCTTATAAAGATGGTCGGGTAGTATGTGTCACTTTTAGGGGATCCTGTAAGGGTATTGTTTAAGGGCTGCAAAGGGATATAAGTTTGCACGAGGGCTTGGCGAAATAGTAAGGTTATACTATACCGCGATAATCGTTATCGTCCATGGAAGATTTATACTATGGAAACATGGTAGTCCAACAATTAAGGCTCCTATGATATTGAGAACGGACGTGAGTTTTTTGAGATCAGAGTGCTGTTGGGCGACTACCGCAGGTAGGGTAGATGGAATTGCACCACGCTGAAGTTTTAGACCCTTGCTTGGGAACAGCGCTGTGTAACGGAGTGCCCTTCTGTCAGTCGTTTACGACGACAGGTAGTCGCTTTGGCTCAGCCATGCGCGCGACAGATCCACGTGACACTGGAAACCTTCGACGCAGCTTTGGTGCAGGACATGTTTTGGGGCGCTTTGTACATAGTTGCGTGAAGTTGTGAGAGGAGCATAGTTCGCCGTGTCATGCTTTACTGTCTGAACTGATAAAATAAAGTTGTTGGCTCTCAGGGACGTCAGATTCAGGCAATGCTTTCTTTCTGCTGGCAAAATGCCGGAGCTAAGCCTATACTACCCTACCGAAGCCAAAATCTTGGCAGCATCAGGCACGTAAAGTGGAGACAGCACCGGAGTCTTGACGGCACTTTGGGTCTTGTTTTTTGCAACTATGGCGTGGCGTGTTCAACTGTTCTGACGAATGCTGCTGTGGTTGTTGTTGTTGCCAGCGGCACCGGACTATTCTACTCAATATGCTGCCTTTCTCTCAGTAGTGCTCGCATCAGTCAGCTAAATGTATAGCAATGCGCCGATGACAGCCACTGGAACAACGATAGTACGAGCTGCCAAGTCACCCGGTCAGCCTGCGACTCTTGTTTTCAAGAGGCCGCATCTGAACTCACAGTCTTCGCGGTCGGGTGGACGCCAAGGCTGCAGTATGTTCGGCATTCTGAGTCTTTCGGATTGACAGCACAGGCCCAAGATAGCCGCGGGAGAGGTTGTGAGATGTGGGGAGTACCGCTTATCGGGGTATGCAGGTGGCGATGCGGACTACATTTGGTACACATAGCGCGCTGTGGGAGACTACGTAGAGCAGAATCTGTACCGTGTCTCTTCTCGTCTTGATACCGTCTCTCCATACAGCAAATTCGCCGATCCGGCGAATTTGAAACGCGTTGCGACTTCTCTGGGCGGTTGGAGCCCTGCTAAAAGCTGTTATATACTCTCCTCGAAGTACCCTATATCAAAACACCCCTCAGCCACAAAAGATGAGACTGAATGCCGAAACCCTAAACCCATGTTGCCTTTGGCACTTCAGCGACACCGACCCGCAGCGAGAGCCTCGCATGGCAACCCTAAACCCCTAAGCCCTAAGCCGTTGTGAGAGCGCAAACCCATCTCAACGGCCAAATCCTCCACCAAACAACTAGACTCTGAAGCCCTTTCAGAGCTCAGGAAAACGGCGTCAGATGCCGTCCTCCTCCGGGACTTTGACTTTGGCTACGGCTTGGTTTCCATACGGGTTCTATCGTTTTGTTGCAAAGTGTTCTATAGGTGTTTAGAACCAATGATGGTTCTGGTAGTGTTATATAGGATTCTCCTATACGCTTCTTATAGACGGCCGGCACTACGTGGGTTTTACATTCAGCGGTGTTTTTGGGTTTCATTTGGAGCTCTCGGGATTTTCATGTTGTGCCATGCGCACCACATTTTGAAAGACAGTCATTGTGCAATCTACATCAATCTACCCAAGTGGTTGGAATCTGATTGTTCGGGCCCATATAACTTTTACGCTCGGAGTTCGGAATTCTGCCTTTTTAGCCAAAATGCCTTGCCCTAAATGTCCAAAACAGGTAACGTCGCGGGCTTTGTCCTTGCTAGGTAGGAGGGAAAAATATGTCCAAAACTCAACATGTCAAGAGGATCGCACTTCTCGCACCTCAGCGGCACGCAGCGCCGCAGTGGCACGGGAGGAAGAGGAGCGGATCGGGAGAGGATGGGAGAGGTGTCGCTCGGGCCGTTCGGGGCTTCCAGGGATCCCAGAGACTCCAATATCCCTTAATTAAGGAATATACCTTAAATTATAGTAGGATCCCTAATAGGATTTAAGGAATATTCCTTAATTAAGGGATATTGGAGTCTCTGGGGATGTCAGTTTCGTAGCTTGCGCAGTGCCATGGCAATCCGGAGGAAACTAACATCACAAAGTTAGGGACTTGGAGTTTGTAAAGGCCAACTCGGTCCTGCTTTTCTTTTGTGCACAAATATCCCACGCCCCCATCCCTGAACAGAATTCCAGACATTAGACATCAAAGCCCCAAACTCCAAACCCAAAAACCTGAACCCCTCCGTGAGCGTTCAAGAGGGGAGAAAGGGAGGAGGTTCAAGTTCAAGAGCTATAATGCTTTAAGCCCTAGAGTCTTGAGAATTGTTCCTTTCGAGTGTATCAGTGTCGTTGTCCGTCTTGGCTTCATAAAAGGTCGAGTCAGTATAAGGGCTTGAATCCTGGCAGGAGGCGACGTCGCCGATGAGTCCCACGCAGCAAACCATCAGTGCCTTGACATCCGCCGGCCACCAGTTGGTCGAGGATTCATTCATTGGGTGTCTGTCGTGTATGCTTACTTGGAAAGGCTCACTGTTCAGCTGACAGGGCCTCGCAGGATTCT